TTTGAAGCGATTTGTCCGACAATTAATTGGAACGAGTTTATTCGATGTGCGTAGATTGTATAGCTTGGATGTTCGGCTGGTTCAACTAGTTCGGAAAGAGGACTAGTTTGCGGAAGAACCTTTTTCCTAAAAAATGTTGAACATAACAGTTCGCGCCTAGAATACAATGTTGGGATATTGAGATCTGATAAGGATTCTTTGTATGATGACGATGGGTTAATTATTTTCAACGCTCTTGACTGGATCCTTTCTATTTCTTTGGATAGGTATTCAGGTATGTTATAATGCCAAACTTGGGCACAGTACTCCAAGATGGGTCTTACACATGAAAAATACACTGATATCAATGTTTTAGTGTCACAACAAGCTCGCTTGAGGAGTCTAAGCATGTAAAGGCGTTTTGCGGATTTTTTCACTATGTGAGCCACGTGGTCATTCCACTTTAGGTCGTCCTTGAAAATTAAGCCAAGGAGTTTAGCGGATTTCACAACTTCAATGGGCTGTTCGTCAACGATCATTGGGGGGCAATTTGGATTGTTTTTCCAAAAACAAACGAGGATTTCTTTGCATTTACGGGGGTTTAAGGACATGTTATTTCTTGCACACCACTGCGTAATTCCTTCTAAAATAGTTTGAAAGTTCGAATCTTGGTTTCTAGAAAGGGTTTCTGAAACAGATGAATCGTCAACATATTTCCATCTATCGTCCCAATCAACCAACAAATCGTTTATCATAATCATAAATAGAATCGGACCTAAGACAGTGCCTTGTGGAACCCCACCGTTCACTGGTTCGAAACTTGAGGTGTATTTACCTATCTTCACTCGCTGTTTCCTGCCAGTAAGAAACTGTTTTACCCATGCAATAAGAACGGGATCGATGGCCATTTCCTCCATCTTCTTGATAAGAATATGGTGATCAATCTTGTCGAAGGCTTTACTAATTCAATTTGACAACGGTAGTATTCTGTCTATAGCAGTTAAAATAGAGTGTACAGTACCTGAATTATTCAATATCTTGCTTGACAGTACTTCGATCTAAATCCATAAAGACATTTACATATTATGCAAATACTGGATATTTTCAAAATCCGCCATTGTCATAGAACCCAAGCACAGCAAGCTTTCGCGGATCACGCCTGTGATTTGCACTGATAATAGGAGGGTAAGATCATCCAATTTTTTCATTGTTCGAAGCGAAAGGAAATGATAGCTCCATATATGGCACAAATGTGTCCCCAACTTACTTATATGGCACAAACGTGTCCCTAGAATATTTTATCGACGTTGCCATCTTGTCATAAAATTCCTCACACTCGGAACGAATTGAACAGGTCACGTGGTACAGAACCCAGACAGCTGATTGGATTAGCGAGTGACAATGCCCACTTTGATCTTACTCTCCTGTTATTAGTCAACATGATCTCTTCTCAAAATTAAAGTGGAAGTCAAGTCCGTATGTAATTTTACATTTTGAACTGCTGTATTTTTTAATATGATGTACTGTCTGAATATCTAACACCATTTTGGTTTGCTATGCTTCTAAATGAATATGAAATAAAGTTTATGTTCAGAAAATTCGAAACATTCGAAATTTGGGCAATGTTTACATTAGAGGTTCCTCACATTGTTATGAGCAGAACCGACTTCCACTTTAAGCCGCTATGTCTTAATTGTAAAACTCTTTTGACTTTTGGCTCCCCTGGACGCGCAGGGACGGGAACACTTAAGAAAAAAAGGTCGTCAGTTTTAGATTAGGATCAGATTAGGCTCAAATCAAGATTAGATTAGGGTTAGGGTTAGAGTGGGGGTTGTGTGGGGTTTAGGGTTCAAATTCAGGCAGTGTCTTAATTTGAACGCTTTTTAAAAATTAAAAATAAGACATACTATAGCCTTAATTTTGGGAAGAGATCGTGCTGTATTAGTGCAAATCATGGAAGTGACATCAGAGGTGTGACGTAATATTTCCCATAAACTGCGAAAGCTTGGGTTCTAATGTAAATAAATATGGTGGATTTTGAAAATATACAGCATTTGCATAATAGTAAATGCATTAATGCATTTAGGAGCACTGTCAAGCAAGATATTGAATAATTAAGGTGCAGTACACTCTATTTTAACAGTTATTTAGATAGAATACCAATGTTGTCAAATTGAATTGGTCCTAAAGCCTGTGGTGACACATCTTGTGGTACGAATATTGTACGCGCGGGTCGCGAGAATGACGTCTGAATAATTCGGCTAATACGCCTCAGGAAAACTGTACGGAGCCTCCTTAAGTTTTTTTTTCTGAATTATCAAGTCCACGTTCGTAATTGATTTCAATGTATCATTTATATTTTCTAGAGTTCCTAGTGTGGACCGTTAGCTTCAATGATTTGGCCTACGGTTGTATGTTTAATGTTTGACGCAGTTACAATAGTTGTATAGACGTATGTTAAAATTACATTACAATGATCTACGGGCGCTTTCCATTAACACAGCGAGACCTGTCAGAACGGTCAAATGTTGAATGGAACACAATACTACATTGGGACTTCGGGCCAATCTAATCCGAAAATTTGGATCAATTTTGACAGAAACCCATTTTCACTAGATTTTTGTCTGAACCAGATCTTACCATTAATACAGAGAGAGAAATTCTGGTCTGACCGGTCTCGCTATTAAATGGAAAGCGCCCTACGGTTGCATGCTATGTTTCACTGTAGTTGCATCTGTGGGTTTATGATGTCTTAAAACTAGCTTAAATAACGACATTTAAGAATATAGAGAACAACATTCTTGAATTTAAAAAGATAGTGAAACAATGTACACGTCCTAAAATGTTTCTACGGTTTAAAATTATACTTACATTAGTATTTTTCATGTATAAATAATGTGTGTAAGCAATGTAACAAAGAAGATTAATAAAATGAGTCCCCTTTGCGAATCATGTGCAATATACATGACCCTTTTTCGACGAAACCCGAACCATAAGTTGGTTTTTGGTGACAAAAAGTTTAGTGTGGTGTCGTATTTAATGGTAGGGGGTCTAGGTCTGCATTCGAATTCGTGCGTTTTCTGAAACAGATTTTTGGATATACAACGTTGTACATAGTACTTGCATGGTATATATGTTTATGTAAATAGCACATCTCGATCAATAACTAGCTTGTTTAGCCTAGCCTTCCACTGGGATATGCTATCCACTGGGAAATTTTTAAATTCTTGGGTATTTACAACTCAATGTTTAGCATTTTTGAAAAGACATTCGGAATCATAAAAAGATCGACATGACATAAGATTCACAAAGCAAATTTCAGTTACTAGAATATCAAACCTCCCTTCTAAAGTCCTTTTTCTTCCAATGTTTTGCTTATATTTCAGAGAAAAGGGACTTTGACTGGGGGAAGCAAAATGGTTAAACGGGGGAGATCACCATGGTGGCTGGGGGGTCTTTGGGGGCCCCCAGTTATATAGTTAAAAAAGGCCATGCTTCACTGCGTCGTAATAATTCAGAAAAATAACTTTTGGTATTGCTGTAAACGGGAAGGAATAAAAACTCAAGTCTTATTAGCCAGCTATTTCTCTACTGAAATATCCAACAGTGCAAATCGGCTAAAAGTCGTGTCGCTAAGCTGAATTTTTCAAAGTATGTGCGGCGTTAAGTTTAAAATATAATCCGACTTAAGGCCAAGTAAAAAAATAACTTGGTTAGCGTCCTTTTTTCCCTAATTTTAGGGTAGTGGTAATTTTTTTTTTTTTTTTTTTTAATTTATAAACTTTGCCGATGAAACAGTACATTACATGACAGGACAAAAACAAACGTACATAATGAAATACAGTAGGTACATGACCACGGCTGGGTGACCGCAACAGCGAATAGCCAATTACTGCGGGCGGGTGGGAGGGTTCTTTAGGGTTTTTTTATTTGTGCACCTATATATAATCAACCTTGTTTCCAGGGATATAAAATATGAGCATATTTAATATATCGAGGATTTCTAGCAACCAATAGTGGGCTAGCGCTGGGCAACTGCTGACAAATGTTACACCGGCTGTGAATGTTGGTTTGTTTATATAAAAGTGGACAAATTCTTTCGGAATAGAAGATTTCTAAGGTATTTATATAAAATTTTAAAAAAATTAGGTCGGAATCTTTTTCACTGGTCGGGCGGGGACGCTAACGAACTTACTTGGCCTAATTCTTGCCTAACATCACCAGAATTGCAAAAAAGCTGCGGGTATGCGGGTACCACCCGTGAGGAAGGTTTATTATACATGAGGTGGTTTAAAAGTGGGATTCATTTAGTATTTTTTGTGCTGGTAACTATTGTGATAGCGATCAAGTGACTAGAACACTGGAGAGGGGGGGGGGGCTGGAGTAAACCGTGAAACCTGATTCTGTATAAATGTATACAGGTCGTACAAGTATTTAGCATTTGCTAACTAACAAATGATTGCTAATAACAATACGTTGGTTAATTGTCACCGGAAAACAACTAAACTCTGCCTTTCCAGTTTTCCGGAGTTTCCATGGAATAGACTGCATAATGACGTCACGGAATTCGCGGGAAATTCTGATTTTAGTATAGCCACGGCCCACGGCGGGAAAACAATCCAACATGACCACTGTCGTAGCTGAGTGTGCTGCTTTTCTTTGTCGTCTTTTAGAGGCTGTTCAAGCCAATGAAGTCCCTATAGTTCTTTTCAGAACTCTTGCACGGGTCTTCAAGAGGTTTAGCAGTTTTGACAGTTTGGCAATAAAAGAAATCCAGAACTATATTCTGTTCAGTATATATATTTCTGTTTATTTATTGTTACTCCATACTTCTTTGGTGTAGGCTTTGCAACATTTAACTATGGCAGTTGTGCATGAAGCCGATTTCAAGATGAAATTATTGATATATTTTGTATCAGCCAATGAATTCGCATTATTTTGAGGAAGGTTTTGAAAACTTGAATTCTGATATCCTGCCCGAGAAAGGTTGATGACTTTTTGCTAATCTGCACTTCGCATTTATAACAACAGGATTATAAATATGCTAACTCACACATCATTTTTTACATTTTCACGAAAGTCTGGTGGTTGAGAAAAGTGGGCGTGGCTCAAACCAACTCAAACTGAGCTCTCCGAAATCTTAACTCTCCAATATCCTTGCTCTTTTTGTTTAAAGAAAGTTTTATTTTTGCAAAATCATAAGGTAAGTTTTATTTCTTCTAGAAAGTTTTATATACACACATCTAATTAGAAGTTTGATTTTCCAAACAAGTCTTGTACTTTAGGAAGTATCAGTGACAAATCATGGTAAACCATTCTGTTGAATGGAGGCAGTTTCGCTCATAGGTTTTATTATCAGGATCTGCCTGTGATCATTAAAGTGGATACATAGTCTACCTGTACATTAATACGACCTGACGTCAAAACACGTTCCTAACAAATCGGTCATCCGTTGCACAAACAAGCTACCAATATCAATATGGTTATGTACTGCTAATGACCCATTATATGCACTGCTAATAACCATATAATGGTCATTTTACACAATGGTTGAGAATTACAAAATTGAGAAATGAGGCACAGTCCCAAACTTTTGACGAAATATAGCATCTCTATTTTCGGCAAGTTGTCCATTCGGCAAACTGTCCGTTCGGCAAAACGTCCGTCGGCAAAATGTCCGTTCGGCAAAATGTCTTTCGGCAAAATGTCTTTCCGCAAAGTGTCTTTCCGAAAAATGTCCGGGTAACCCGCCTCCCCTCCCCATCTCATGTACTACATCTCATACAGTAAAGACATTGAAGACAAGGTTTGTTGAGGATCGGCATTCTGTCACTGATAACGATGCCAACCAGCCTGTTACCAGACATTTTAATAGTGGCAATCAGTGTTTCCGACATGAAAATTCGAGCCCGCGCGCTGTCCTATTTCTGTTAGCAATGATAGCCGAAAAAAAACATGAAATGCGCCTGTCCTCATTTCCAAGCTAAGTAATGTCGACCCCTGTGGTATATATGAACATTTGTCTTATGTTTGGGTATACTGTATCTGTCCTTGCCTAACTTCAATCACTTTATTTCTTACTAGTTTCCTTATTTCCATTTTTTTAACTATTCCGTTGCTTTCTTTCCTTTTCCTTAATAGTAATATTTTCTGTAATGTGATTTACATCTTTTGGCTACACTTTATTTTGACCAAATCCATCTGATTGTTTTATCTTTTGTCACGCACGTTATCGCTTTTAAATTAAATTCACTAGTATATAAAAGGGCATGTATTTTTCCAATCCATGTTACTAACTTCCCGACGAAGGGCCTTCGCCCGTTTTACTTGTATTTTTCATGTAATTGAATCCTACTCAATCCGCCGTTTTCTGGTGGGACAAACCGTTGGAGTTATACTGTATATTAGCATTTTATCAATGATAGTTAGCTACTTTCTAAAAACAGGCAGTTGTGCCACCAGATAGCAAAAGTTTTAAATAACGGTGCGGTTCAACAAGGGTAAATAATGTTAGCCAATCAGCGCGTTTGTTTACATTTTGCGTCCTTGACCAATCAGAATGCTTGAAATTCGAAACATATAAACAAAAGGAGTGTGAAAATAACACCTTGTTCTACGCCCTCCGTGACATTCGATATTAAACTTTTTACTCCAAAACTGAGAAATTCTGATAAAGCATGCTTTCTTCTTTAATTTCCTCGGGGGGATTTTTTAAATTCGATCTAGAACGCGAAATATTTATGTTTGAATAACAGTGTTTTAACGCGCGTAAAATAGCATGCTCTCACTTGCACTATCTTAACACACACATAAAAAATTGGTAGATTTGGCAGTTTAAACTTATTTTCCCCACACCACAGCCGAAATATTTTTTAAATATTACCTATCTCATCTCGCATCGGAAATGCGTCACAACGATCCAGGACAGTATCGCATGACTCATACACACTCATTAGAGACCTTAAGATTGACGTTTACGGCAAACGTCAAACCGCTAGCGAGGTTTATGATTTTACAACTCTATTATAATAGCTTTTACACCAGTTTTGAAATATGTTAAACTTATTAAACTTGTGCTCTTTAGCAATGATTTACGAAAGCAATTAAATTAACCACTAGTCATGCCATTCACCAAAGCAGTAAACTAAGATTTGGCGTTTGGCGTATAAATTTCATGCTTGAACTGCTACGAGGGCTTGTAGTCGTTAAAGCATGAAATTTATACGCCAAACGTCAACTTCAAACGCCAAATCTTAATTTACTGCTTTGGTGAATGGCATGACTAGTGGTTAATTTGCTTTCTTAAATCATTGATAAAGAGCACAAGTTTAATAAGTTTAACATATTTCAAAACTGGTGTAAAAGCTATAATAATAGAGTTGTAAAATCAAAAACTTCGCTAGCGGTTTGACGTTTGCCGTAAACGTCAATCTTAAGGTCTCTATTGCCCCTCTGTTCCGCGGCCTCTGAATTCATAATTACATAAAACAAGACGCCTACTCAGGCGTTCACACTGGCCTGAAAATAACGAGATACGTGCTATGGCGCAAAAGGCAGGAATACAAATCTTAAACCGCAAGCAAATTTTATGGACTTTTTAAAAAAATAAAAGACCTTTTCGGGAGACGTAATGGTGCAAATCTATTACTAGCAGTTACTTTCGCAAGGAAAGTGCTGGCCTTTATGGCGTATTAACAGAATGCAAAAATTTATATTTCTAGACAATTCTTGGTTATATCCCCAATGTTTCCTTCTCGTCCATCATTTAAGCCCATTCACAAACTCATTCTTAAATTGTGTGCACGGAATACGAGTAAATAGCCAACATGAAAATGAAGCCATTGGGTCAAAAGTGGATATTAAGGTCTATTACAATACACACTACTTTTGTTTGCTCTGGCTAACGCCAGACCAATTTACACTGTAACGCCAGACGATTTTACTTGTTAGTGGCAGAGTACTGTCAGTAAATGGGTTAACAAACACATCTGACATTGGTAATCCATTAACAGGCAATGTACCGCCTTAGTATTCTTTAGTAACTCTTCAGAATTTGCTCAGAGTCAATGTTAGTAAAATACATCTTGTATTCAAGCGCTTTCATGTACAAAGTTTCGTTTGAATACAGCACAGAGTAGGAATATTTATTTTGAATTTTTCAAAATATCGGGTTTTTACTCGCACGCACGTTTATAGCTCGATTGATGGACGTGCAAATCATGCCGTCCTTGTTTTGACTTTTGATCGCCATAAAAATCCCAAGACACAAGCTTGAAAATAACACTTTCGATTCTGGTTCCAATAATATTATTACGAAAAAGATATGTCCAAAGGGGCCGAAGTTATGTTCGGCAAAATGTATGGCCATGGCTAGTTTACATTGTTTGTTATATTATGAAATATGATACCATACTTGTATTAAAATTTGCGTCGAACTAAATGTTATTGTATTAGGCAAATGAGTAGACTTGCCACAAGTCGACCTCGAACGAAATGCGCACGTTTCTTCGAGGTTGACTTGTGGCAAGTCTAGCAGATGAGAACCATACATGTCAATAATGGTCCCAGTTCTTGTTGGTATTTTGAACGCACGCTTTATCTTTAGTATAGCTACCACATGACAAAGCCTTTCGCGCGGATTATATTTCGCGCAGTACTAAAATTTCCGTACCCAGCGGCCAGCGCTACTAATTCTAGTACTGCACGGATTTTAATACATGTATTTAAAGGTATATTGTCGACATTTGACTAAAAATATCGTAAGGAATTAAGTACACAAGGGATGTAATTATGAGTCCACGACGTATATTTATTGTTGTTTATTAAAAAGTCAAACTGTCAAACCTTTAACTTGTCCTTGTTTAAATATCCTTCTATATATTGTATAAATTCGCTGGGTCCAAATTTTGTGGTTTTCGAGTCGTTATACAAAGAAAAACACATTAATTCAACACGCAAGAAAGTCCAGAGTTCGACACAACGTAAATTCCATAGGAAACCGGCACAATTCTTTTAAAATTCAACGAAACTGTGTAAAATATAGTTTGATCACTCTGTGAAAAGTCGCCATTGGAGTTCGGAATTGTGCGCGTGCGTACAAGTGTATGGGCTAATAAACGAAAATGTACCACAAGCATGGCATGAGTCGGCTATTACGTACATAAATACCGAACTTATTACTATACTATCTAAATCATGGAACCGAGGGAATCAATGGCATTTTGGCTTAATGGTTGCACCATGAGCCTGCGATGAGCTAACGCAAACTCGATTTCTCGACTACGAAAAAAACAGAAAAAGGGGGATTTAAGACACTTGGCCCTACAGGCCAGTGTAATTAATAATGAAGTAATGTAATTAGTTTCACAACAATGCCATAATGGCTATATTGTGCGGCAGCAATTGTTTATGTTCACTAACGTTTCCACGTAATGAAAACGTCATTCATGCAGGCATGACAAATGTCACAAATTTATTCTTCGGTTGGTTTTCATAAACCATTTCTCAACTAGTATGTCTAGGTCCACACTGTCAGTAATATCTTTTTCGCTGTTTAGCAAAATTAAATTTTGTAAGCGATGATCCGACATGGAATTGCGCAAAGCGGTTTTCACAGTCTTTAGCTTGCTGAATGTTCTTTCATTTTCTGCCAATGTCACGGGAGCCGTCAGGGCGAGTCTGTAAACTTGACTGGTCAACGGGAAAATGTGTTTTCGCTTCTCAGCTTCTTTGGCAGCATCAGCCAATGACTGGATAGGATTTGTATTGCCTTCGTTCATAGCCACATTAACAAAAACTTCGAATTCAGCAGTAAACGCAGCTTGGTCTGGTGCTTGAAGCGGGAATAAGTTGAGAAGATCTTTCACATCTTTTTCTTCATGATGGGAACTCAGCGGTGGTTGGAGGCCTATGGAAAGTGCTTTCACCTTCTCCAAACTTGCATTTATATTGTCCTTGTACTGTGCGATTAGAATATCAAGAACTTCTTTAAATTCTCTGTCATAAAAGTTCATCATTGAAATTTCAGCGGCTGATTCTGGGTTATCATCCAAACGGCGTGGTTGACTGCGTGGCCGATGCAGCTTTGCAAATTCACCGGCAGCATCCACGTACTTTCCTGATAGCACTTCAGTTGAAGCTTGAATCTGATTTGCAATTCCCTCATCATTTTTTCTTATGTCCTGCAAAGATTTTACTGTACCATTCAACGCTTCCAAAGCATCAACGATATTCAAATCTTCTTTCTGAAGTGATTCCGTCAGAACCTTTGTTTTCCAGAGAATAATCCTCATGAACATTAAACTGACCACAAAGTCGACCCGGAGAACTTTAGCCAGCAGACCAGTTGCAGCAGCTTTTCCTTTCGCGTCAACAGAACCATCATTTGAAATTTTCCTTAGAACTTCGATCACGGCTTCATACGATATCCACATCGCTCGGAGAGATTCCGCTCGTGCTGTCCATCTTGTAAGAGAAAGGTTTCTTAGTATTAGCGAGTTCTCGACATTTTGAAGTTCATCATGCAAGACAGCATACCGCTTGGTACTGCCAGAGAAAAAGGAATATGTCGCTTGGAGAGTATCAAATAGCTCGGATACTATTGGACTAGCTTCACAAGCATGTTCATTGACGGTATTAGAACGATGGCCTTGGCATGGTATGTATGGTACTTCTCTGTCGAGTAACCGTGAGACAACTGCTTGTGCACCATTGTATTTTCCAGACATACTGTTCGTAAAATCGTACGATTGAAAAGCGATGCTCTTGTTGTCTAATCCGTTTTGGTCTACTGATTGAATAATAGCGGTGGCTTGACCTTCTCCGGTCTTTTCTCGAAATTCTTTCAGGTCAAGAAGACGCTCATGAACAGCTCCGTCGTGATCTACGTACCTGCAGATAACGCTCATTTGATCTTTATGGCTAACGTCAGGGGTTGTGTCTGCCATTATGGAAAAAACTCCTGCGTCCTTGATGTCGTTGGTTATTTTTTCCTTTACTTCCATACCTAATAGAGAAAGGAACTCGTTCTGTGACTGTGGGCTGGTGTAGGTAACTTTGTATGCTCTATTGTGTTTGTTGTCCATCCACTGTTTCAACTTTGGACAATGCCTTGACGTGAAGGAAAGAAGCTGGGTAAAATTGCTATCAGCGTCTGATTGTGTGCCCCGAAAAGATATGCCTTGCCTTGCCATTGTACGACAAAGGTCAATAATCAGTTTTATAATAGCTCTGTTGTTTTCCTTATCATTCCTGCAACTGAACGGCTTTAGCGCGAACTTCCGTGTCAAGCAAAGAATCAACATGAGATTGAGAATTATTACTCATGAAGTGGACATAGTCTAGAAACGCTGCGTTGTGTGCCTTTGACGAGCGGTGTTCAGAATTGGAAAGTTTTCCCGGATTCCCTGCTCCTCTGCTTTTCATCTTGTCCCATTTTCTAACTCCAGTGGAACACCAATTTTGCGTCGATCGTTCTCGATCTATACCTTTCGGGAACATTTGGCAAACAAAACAAAAAGCCGCATCCTTTTCAGTACTGTATTCCAAAAACGGATACTGCGAAAACCAGACAGCCGTGAAACGATTTTGTTTGCTGCTTGACGTGATATCTTCGTTTGGCGGATAATTGAAAAGTTTGGGTTGTTGCGGACCAATTTGAGCTAAATACAACCTTTGTCGCTTTGTCGTAATCAAAGGTCTAAGCCCTGGATCTTTCGAGACAGGATCGGGTAAATCACTTTCTGCCACGGGCACTTCTCCTTCGTTGTATTTCGCAAGAGCCAGGTCCACGCTCTTTTGCAGCCTGATTGCTATTTTCTTACAGGAGATCGCTGCTTCTTTTGCATCAATTAAAAAGTTTTTGTGATTTGGAACAATACACCTCTCTATGTTTTTTTTTCAAGTCTGTCATCTGACTGATAAGACAGCCCATCTGACCAGCACATTGCACCCAATCGACTTCAGTTATCAACTCATCATCAGAATTGTCTGAAAATTCACGTTCATCTTCAGAGTTATCTCGTTCTTTCTCATTACGATTTTTTGTAGCCGTCGTGGATCTGGGGTCACATGCGGATTCGTCAAGCTCCATTAAGTCAGACACAATAGACATAGTCGTCGAAGTCGTTTGATCTGATCCTGTTGTCACGCAGTCATACGCGGAAGAAGTAGAGGATAAAACTGTTTCTTCAGAGTCTTCAGTCGCGGACGTAGAAGGGATGGTTTCCTGCACATCGTCTTCTTCAGGTGTTTGCACATTGGTAGTCGTGGGTTTTGTTTGCGCAGTGCTACCCGCTTTAGATTTGGCAGCCTGTGCCTGTTAGAAACCAAATTAATGACTGTTTAAAATGCGAACAGTATGACCTACACAAGCTGTCCAACCCAAGCTGTTGAGTCATTTAATGAATATTTATACTTATGATTTAAGTATAAATATCAATATATGTGTTGGCATGTCCATAATTAAAGAACAAACCTACCTGAAATGGGTTATCTGGTGCCCCCGCAACTTTGAAGCCAATATGTTTGTGAGCCTTCAAATGAGCGCTATGGCACAATTCGTTGTGTTTCTTTCGATAGTCCGAACAACCTCGTACCCAGGGCTTCTGCGCTTATTGCTCTCAGAAGCCCTGGGATAATCCAAACCGGAACACCATAGAACAGTGGTGCCCCCGGAAGCGGAAGTAAACAGTAGCTCCAGCTAAAAACGCTGACTGGGCATATTTTTACGCAAGGAGTGAGAGTGGATTATTTGTTGCAATTTATGATATATTTGGACTTGTAAAGACGTCTTAAACTGCTTCTCGCGTGGCTTTTGGAATTTAAAGTCAGGAATGATCAATTTAGAGATACAATTATGCGTAAAATAAGCCCTTTGGCAAGCAAAAGAACATCTTATATCGCGACAACAGCATACCTTGTCAGCGATATACAGGGGCTATTCAATAATTAAAGTATAAATATTTATATTCGAGTACAACATTGGTCATTTCAAAATCAACAGACTAGAAATCTTACTGGTAACATGGCTGGCTGCCGATTATCTTGGATTTGAGGGTTTTGAACAAGATATTGCAAGATTTAATTATAAATACACAAGATACACTGTGCTGTAAACATGCATCTACTTGAAGAATGTAAAATGAACAGTGATGAGTGATGTAATATAATTCTGTACTTATTTGGAAAACCTTTTTGGCAAATCTTGAGAATAATGGCTTTGGGAATTAATGTTGAAAATTAAAAACTGTCAGATAGCTGCATGGACAGCATGGTTAGAAGCATACATGTCATCGGATGAAACTCCAACTTTTGTTAATTGCTGATGTTCTAGTATTGGAATGAACAGTGTTATAAGAACCAATGGTGCTGAACTAATTTGGGTTTATTATAAAATATTGTTTATCATTTAGTTCTGGCCATTAACCTTACCTATTAAGTTATACATTGTGTCTTACTTTTTATTTTACTCTGGTGTGCACCCCCCCCCAGGCTCTGGTCAACAGGGGTGCATGGGGGGGGGGGTGCAAAAATGATGTTTATCCTAATTCTAACCAACTTATGTTAAGGAATTCAGTTGCGTATCACTAGTTGACAATAGTGGAATAGCCAATATTAAATATTCTGAATTTTTAAATGTTTTGAGAATCTAAAAATTTTCCAGAATGTTTTCTCAGAATGCTGGAAATGCCATTTCAGAGACCCAAATTTTAAAAATTTTCTGTGGTAGTATGCCCCCGGACCACCCTAGAAATCTTGCGCCTTCAGCGCTCGTTTCGCCATTGGTTAGCACCCCCAAAAAAAACTTTGCTGGATCCACCACTGCACCAGATGATTTTATATGTTGGGATAGATCATTGGTGTTTTCAATGGATTATTTCATAATACACACTAGTTTGTTAATCTACTCTGTCTAATCATGCTAACACCATCATTGGCAATGGAATTGAGCAGTGATGTAGCCAGAATTTCTAATTAAGGCCTTCAAGGGGGACTGCAATCCCCAGGAGGGGCCTGCACTAGTTTGAATAAAGTTTGTTAGTATGTAAAAATATATTTGGACTCCCAAGCTATCCATGCATAATATAGTACAATGTAGACTTTTTAAATTCTAGTTAATAAAGTGCCATTTTGGGGGGCTATTTTAATTAATGTGTTTTGGTGATTTGAAATAACCTTGCAGTTAACACATGTTCAACTCTAATTAATTACAAACAAGTTCAGAACATTTAAAATATTTTGATCCCCCACTCCCTCAGGTTACACCACTGGAATTGACTTGAGCCTTTTAGACCTCTGAATTTTAGTTGCAACTTAGAACAGTGTTCTGACATACAAGAAAATTGTAAGAAAATTTAAAATTTGTGCAAAAGCATTTCTCAAATAGGTTGTTCCAGAAAATATCCACACTCCCCCCACAGAGGAAATTTCTGCCGTTCAGAGGGGGAGGGGGGAAAAATTGTTTCTGATAATAGTAAATGTATTAGGACATCCAAAGGGGTAGAAGGGATTAGCTTTCAATTTCCTCTGTGGGAGTGGTATGGGTGTTTTCTGGAATGACCCAATATAACTGGGTTTTTTTTCAAATCTAATCAAACTGTCAAATTGTCAATCTTTGTACATCGGGAGGGGAAATTTTGGAGAAAGAAAAATTGTGACCAATCAGGTTGGGGGTCCACCTGTAGGCCTGGTCATAGGCGTACAGGACTGGGCTCAATTGTTGGGCAGACTAGGCCAGTCGGGCAATATTTACTTCACAGTTGGGCAATATTGGCTTATTATAAAAATAAATAGGAGAAATTATTCCCTCAATATTGGGGGAAATATGCTATATAATGATTAATGGTCGAAAATTTAGTTCATTTTGATTAATAGTCATTTAATATATGTGCTATCAACAGTTTCTTTATGGTATTAAGTAACAGATTACAATGCTTGTACATTAGAGATTTAGAGCCACTAATAACTCAATAATAAATAGGCACTATTAAATACAAACTCCGAGCCAGTGCACCCAGCATCCTCAAATTGGGAATAATTTGTAAATTTAAATATTTGTGTATAATTCATAATTTATCCTATTCCAATACAAAATGCAATAATATAGAACACACAATTGATCAAATAAAGGTAAAAAAGGTATTAAAAACTTTATTATGTAATATTTACATTGAATATCGTGGTTGAAGGTGTAGATTTATACTTGAAATTTCAATTTTCGAACGAGAAATGTTTCGCTTTATTATGTTAAATTTTTTACTTTGTTCGCCATTCTTGCATATTTACAAATACAAATAGTCCATTTCTTCTTTTGCTCTTTTCAAAATAGCCCAGAATTTGATTTAAAAAAGTATTTTCATGCAAAAACCAGCATTTAACTTTTGTATACACTCCTTGAGATAGCAGACATGTTGCCAAAATATCACCCGGTTAATGAATAACTTCCGGTACTTTCATTGTATTCGCCACAGAAGAGATAAGGGCAGAAGGTTCACTCAAGGGTAAAAAGTGTGCCAGAATGTGAGCCGACTTCCGGTGTGGCCGCCATGTTGAAAGCAACCAAACCAGAGGAAATTTTATAGGAGTTAATATGGCGGAATACGAAATAGAGCCACTAAAAGTGCTCTAGCTTTTTATGTATCCAAGCAAAACTCATGATACTTTGAAATATCATAAAGAAGAGGTTGTTCTTTGATTTAATTGTTACTACGAGGATGAGAAACGAATTTAAGCGTGGAATTTGGCCATTGTCATACATCGATTAATTTCACCTCGGTCTTTGGCGAATAGTGATAAACATATAAAGTTATATAGCTTATGTGTGGTTAGTCCGATCGCCGTAAAATATGTTTTGAGTGATAAGTTGGTGATATTTCATGGTGTACAAAAAGATTAAGGACGTGAATGCCATAACAATGAAGGAAATAAATCCAGTTCATCGGACCTTCAGTGAATCTGTGATCAACTATTCAATACAGTGTAATTCAACTTGGCATATTGGCCTGCAATCGTATAAAATAATATTGCGATATGAAAGAAATTGCTAGACCTACTTCTTCTTCTAAAATAAATTTTAGGGATAATATATTGACTTGAACCTATTAAAATCCTTTAGCTGTGACTTTACAAATTTGGTATCACAAGTGTGTCAAGTCACAACTGACAAGGCCTCCTTTGACATTATCAAGGAACCTCATTTACAAAACAGACAATAAAAGACCTGATTTATCTTAATGACAGTTTAAATTATAAATCTGTGAGATTCTAATATACACTCAAGTTTTTAAGATACATATTAACGTTTACTCTACAATGAGGGGAAAATAATCTGAAGATGAGAATTTTCTCTGTTACTCAAGTTTATGTTACATTTAGCACCAACTATATTATTGTTGCTATCACCTTAGGGGTTGTTTACATGAGCCCGGGTAGCCATGTAGGCTGGCCCGGTTAACCAGGCTGAAGGCCTGGCTAGCCAGGTTACATGAGCTGGTGACTTTACATGGGAAAATTCCAGCCCGGTTATCCGGGCGTCCCCTTTGACTCAAGTGAGATCTCGGCTAGGCAGATTCTTGTTAAATGATTTGTATTAAGCTGGGTGCCTCGGTTAACAGGACTAGTCAGGCTCATGTAAATAGCCCCTTAGTTATTAAGACTTGTTGGCAGAGTAAAATATATCAGGCAATAAAACTGGTTTCAACTTGCAACAAATCGGATGTTGTTTTTTACAAAGGGAACCAAGTAAATGAAACTTTAACATCTAGTGTATTCTACTATGTACAAGTTGTACAACCCCAAAAATGTAAACAACACTTTGATTTGATTTTAGTTCCATAAATTCATATTTTTTATCCATATTATCAATCCATATTTAATTTGATTTTAGTTCCATAAATCCATATAATTTAGTTCCATAAATTTGAGTTTAGATCCATAAATCCATTAAAGGTGATCTACAGTCCGTATGTAAACAAAGCCTTTGTTTACATTTTTGTGTCCAAAATATTGAGCTTTATTCGACAACTATTTATATTTTCAAGCTTCTAGAGTATAATAAATGATCAAGAAACAACAATCAGGCTTTTCAAGAACTCAAAACATAGTTAAACTGTTTGTATCATAAAAAGTGGGCTCATTTGTGCACATGCGCAGATCGGACTGTAGATCACCTTTAAGATCTGCAACTGTCCTACATGCACAAATGCCATCCAATGTAATGACCTAGATGATAGTTTTGTTTCTTTAAGGCCTTTGATCAAACAGAAAACACATTTGAAGGTCTTCATGTTCCAACAAATTGCTTTCTGGACTACATCA